TCAATGATGTTGTTCATCTGACTCATACAACAATTAAATTACTGCATCCTATTGCCATGGTTATAATCAAGGTCTGTAATGCAATATGGATGATATTTTTTTTTAAACATTTCAACGAACATTTCTCCCATCAGAACGTACACAAAATTTACATCCAGTAGCTGAGCAAATAAATCGATGTAAACAATGTCCTCATGAATTAGTACATGATTTTTATTATGCATAAGACAAGTCACGTCGGGAACATGATCCACAAATTTCACCTATTGAGAAAATGATCAAACTGATTGGTAGACTTCGAGAAGAATTGAAAGAAAAAATATTACTATGTAATCATTTTAGACATCTGAACAATTCATGATTCAAAAAAAAGAACTTTCAATCTAGTGGAAAGATAATGGCTAATCATCATAAACAAGATACATCTATTAAGTTACATGAACTACTCTATGCACTCAAATCTAATGATTATTCAACCATTGCTGCATCTCAACCATATGAACAATCCCATCAAACTTTTTATCATCAATCTTATCAACAATATTATCAATTGTCACATAGACCACAACAGTTTATACAATATTGTCATAATCAAATTATTGGTAATTAACAAACATTATACGAACGACTAAGAGCCAACAACAACAAACAACAATTCTAAATCCACCAACTCAACAAAAAAAAGTGATTAAATTATCATGAAGTTATCCATAAGCAAATAAGAATGCTCATCAAAATATCAATATGTGAAATGTTTCAAATGTGGACAAACAGTCCATATACAAAAATATTGTCTGCATCATTTAAACCAATAACAGACACAACAAATGATGGACTGTCTCTGACAATATACAAAAGTTATCTACACCTCTTATTGTTACTCTTCAACTTAATAATAGATTAATTGATGCAATAGTTGATAAAAGATCAGCAAAATCGATCATTCATATCAATACTCTATACAAGTTAATATATCAACTTCATATTATATATCAAAAGAACATATATCGAACAGCAAACGACATTGATTCTCGTACAATTGTGTTACTACAGTTAAAAATTAGGATTAAAAACATTTCAACATTTACATTAGCTAAAATATCTATTAATTTATGCATTAGATTAGTTTTAGAAAATGATTCGATGACTTAGAATAGTATTGATATCATTACTACTAAACAATGTATTCGTAAACATCAAAAATCACATGTTGTTACTGTTCCATTTTTAATTTATGACCAAAAATCATACCTGGCTTCTTCTATTTATTCTATTTATATTTTATCAGCACAAGAAACAATTATACCTGTACATGTTAAAATAA